CAAAGGTTAGGTGAACTCACGCATACACGCAACAAGACAGGACATCAATAAAAACATGTTTTATGTTCTGAAACTACCCAACTCTGTACTGTAAACATTTTCTGTCTGTCTGTCTGTCTGTCTGTCTGTCTGTCTGTCTGTCTGTCTGTCTGTCCGTCCGTCCGTCCGTCCGTCCGTCCGTCCGTCCGTCCGTCCGTCTCTCTCTCTCTCTTTCTCTCTCTCTCTGTGTCTCTCTTTCTCTCTCTCTCTCTGTCTCTCTGTCTCTCTTTCTCTCTCTCTCTGTCTCTCTCTCTCTCTTTCTCTCTCTCTCTCTCTGTCTCTCTCTCTGTCTCTCTCTCTCTCTCTCTCTCTCTCTCTCTCTCTCTCTCTCTCTCTCTCTCCATAATAGCATAATACTATGTCAGTTTACTATCCCTCCAGCTCACTTACCCCTTGATCCTGCAGCTCCAGAAACTTCCGGTACAACTCCTGCTTTTTCCACAGTCTCCTAAACAATGTCTCGGGCTCTAAGAACTTCTCGTAGTGAGCTTGTGACGAACACACCTTGGCACAAACCGCTTCACGGGCCTTGATCAGGTCATTATAAAATTCGGCATATCTGTACCACACAGAAGAGAACACAGGCATAGAATCAACAACTGCCCAGGTCCCGTCGAATTTGACATTATTAATCTGTCCCCCCGGTTTTATGCAAAAAAAATTAAAAAATAATGCAACCTGAGCCCCAAAAATGTGTGTTTTTCCTACAGTGGCCTCAAGTTTCGTAACATTGTGATCAGAGGAAAAGTTACTGGTATCTGTGGTGTAGTGGTTAGGCGCTTTGCCATCGCACACAGAGGACACGAGTTCGATTCCAATGTGGGGAGAATTTTTATTGAGTATCTCAACCCCTCTGCTGGGATGTTGTATCCCTCTCAGCCCGGGTCTGTCTGCTGGGATGTTGTATCCCTCTCAGTTCGGGTCTGTCTGCTGGGATGTTGTATCCCTCTCATCCTGGGTCTGTCTGCTGGGATGTTGTATCCCTCTCAGCTCGGGTCTGTCTGCTGGGATGTTGTATCCCTCTCAGCCCGGGTATGTCTGCTGGGATGTTGTATCCTTCTCAGCTCGGGTCTGTCTGCTGGGATGTTGTATCCCTCTCAGCCCGGGTCTGTCTGCTGGGATGTTGTATCCCTCTCAGCCCGGGCTGATCCTGACAGGCAGAGTTGAAGCAGTCCGTCTTCTAAACTGTCTAAACTGTGTCAAAGGGGACGTAAAAACACATAATATATATAAAAAATTGTTTCGATTCCTACGGGGTGAGGTTGTTCCACTGGATGTCTCCGTCCTACTTCTGGGAATTGTGTACCCCAGTCAGCCCGAGTGGAAGCAGAAGGCTTCGTAAATCAACAATACTGTGTCAAAAGGGACGTAAAATATTGCCAGTGAAAAAAACCCAAGAAAAAACCCCCAAAAGCAAAAAAAAACCAACAAACCCCACCTCCTTCAAAAAGAGAAATGTTGGGAGCCAAAACCATCTGTGGAAAAAGAATATATATATATATATATGTGTGTGTGTTATATATAAATATAACATGAACATGGTTTGGACATCCCACTCCACCCTGTTGGTTTTTATTTTTTTATTTTTCCCCTTTTCTGGGGGGGGGGGGGGGTTGACACAATAATGGACCTTGTCTTGCCACTTAATGGCCCTAGCTCTTCTGAGACTGGCGGTGTGGAGATGGTTCAGTTCCTTGGCGAGACGCTGGAAAACCGTTTCTGCTTTGGTAAGTGTTTTACGGCGCTCACAACTGCATAAAGTTATATGAGCGCGCGAGATACATTTATTGAATTAAGCATTTTCAGTTTGATAGGAATACAATTTTGAATTTTGCAGGAGTGGCGGCAGCAGCCTACTCTTATCGATTTTAGGACCACCGAGGGATCTTTAATGTGCGCAACTTGCACATGGGACCTCCAAGATTTTTCACCCTTATCCGAGGTGTGGCTGAAAGACAGCAGTAAGAAGAAGCCAAGGAGTAGCAGTAGAAAGGCTGCAGAAAGACTCAGGAGCCCAAAGGATGGGACAAAGGGGAGGAGGGAGGGGGGGGCAGAAAGTGGAGACGAAAGCAGACGACAGAACAGTAGGCTTCGGCCACCGCCCGCGCAAAATTCAACAATTCCAAACTGAAAATGTTTGGTGGAGCTCATATGACCTTATGCAGTTGCGTAAAACAGTCCAAAAACAAAAGTGGACATCCATCAAAGAGAGCCATCATCCAATCATTCCTGTCCCCGTTGTTTTAGGAAAGAAAAATTATGCAAAATGAGCCCAAAAATGTGAAATTATGCGATTCTGTTAATTTTAACAAAGAAAGATAAAGTAAAATAATCAGAAATTATGCAAAAAAATGATCAAATTTTGCTAAATTATGCGGGGTGCATAAAACCACGGGGACAGTTTTTCCAATCAACTCCACACACAACAAAGCTTTGTTTCTGTTTTCCTTTGGAGGTCTGCACCCCAGACAGATCGAGATCGAACCAGTCTGAGCACACA